ATATATATATATATATATATATATATATATATATATATATATATATATAACAAATTAAGTACCAGTTATCAACATTGATTTCCCAAGTTTCAGCAGCATTCCTGCTGGTGGCTTTTTGTAGATGAGGCATTAGCAGAGCTTCTGTTCTAGCATCTGCAGAGAAGTCAGCAGTGCCCCCTGCCCAGAATCTGAAGAAGGCTGTTTTCCTTTTGTGAGATGAGATTTTGCTTTGTGGCCTTAGCCTCCTGATTGGAGGACCACAGTTGTGCACCCATCAAAACCAGTTCTAAAGCAAAATTCTGGGGTAGAAAGAAGTGATCCCTGTCAAAAAGCCACAGGTAGAGCCTGAGACCAGAGGCCCCCTTGGACCCTTGTTCAAATGTCACCTTGTGAGGCAAGTTTCATATGCCTGTCTCCTCACTATTGAGTTAATGTCTCTCCTTAAATACCGGTTCTTTAACATTAGAGCATGTACATGTTCCGTTCATTGGTGTATTTCAACAGCACCTTAAGAAGACCTAAGATTACCTAGCACTGAGGCTATTAAAAAGGGCCTCTAAGACATCTGTACCTTTGTCACTGGCTGTTCATCACCAAATAGAAATAAATACTGAGTCAAAATGAGTTTGTTGTTGTTTTTCAAGACAGGGTTTCTCTGTGTAGCTCTGGCTGTCTTAGAACTCACTATGCAGACCAGGGTACCTTGAACTCAGAGATGACCCCTGCTTCTGTCTTCCCAGTGCTGGGATTAAAGGTGAGCACCACCACTGCCTGGCTCTTACTTGCTATTTAGGGGCTGGAGAGATGGCTGAGGTTGAGAGAACTGACTGCTCTTCCAGAGGTCCTGAGTTCAATTCCCAGCAACCACATGGTGGCTCACAACCATCCGTTATGAGATCTGGTGCCCTCTTCTGGTGTGCAGATATACATGGAAGCAGAATGTTGTATGTATATATAATAAATAAATAAATAAATAAATAAGTAAATAAATAAAATCTTAAAAAAAAAGAACTTGCTATTTAGATCAGGCTGACCTTAAATTTACTGAGATCTCTCTGCCTCTGCCTCTGCCGGGATAAAAGGGTGAACCTTCAAGGCTGGGAGAGAGCTAAAGGGCATGGGACACACACCAGCAGGGTGGGACTGTAGGCTCTGGTTAAGGAATACTGAAACATGACAAATAACAGATGATATTCTCTTGAACAGGTACAAAAGTTTGGTCACTGGGACCCGAGCAAGAGGGATCATTGCTGTCCTCTGGGTCCTTGCCTTTGGCATTGGATTGACTCCATTCCTGGGTTGGAATAGTAAAGACAGTGCCACCAGCAACTGCACAGAACCTGGGGATGGAATCACGAATAAAAGCTGCTGTCCTGTGAAGTGTCTCTTTGAGAATGTGGTCCCCATGAGCTACATGGTATATTTCAATTTCTTTGGGTGTGTCCTTCCTCCACTGCTCATAATGTTGGTGATCTACATCAAAATCTTCATGGTGGCCTGTAATCAACTTCAGCGCATGGAACTGATGGATCACTCGAGGACCACTCTGCAGCGAGAGATCCATGCAGCCAAGTCACTGGCTATGATCGTAGGCATTTTTGCTCTTTGCTGGCTACCGGTACATGCCATCAACTGTGTTACCCTTTTCCATCCAGCTCTTGCCAAGGAGAAGCCCAAGTGGATAATGAATGTTGCCATCCTCCTGTCACATGCCAATTCAGTTGTCAATCCCATTGTATATGCCTATAGGAACCGAGACTTCCGATATACTTTCCACAGAATCATCTCCAGTTATGTTCTCTGCCAGACAGATGCCAAAGGTGGGAGTGGGCAGGCTGGGGCACAGTCTGCTCTCAGTTTGGGCTTATGACCTAGGCTCTGGCCTTTTGTAGAAGGCTTAAAATAAACAATGGGACTCAACACAACTGGCTGATTCTCACTGTGAAAGACAGCTACACCTCCCAAGCATATGAACTGCCTCTTCTGAATACTTACCTGGAGTTACACAAGGCTACCTAATATGATATGCAATCGGCAGGCTCCAAGGTTAACGAATACATTTATGAGTCTATTCAGCTGTTCTACTATGTGGATGACAGTGGCTGGAACTGATTCCCAAAGACAGTTTTAAGAATCTGCCTCATTCATGGTAGAAAATGACTGAAACTTACCTTACTGTGAAACACTGTGAACTATTACAATAAAAGTATTTTTCACTTACAACAATGGAAAAATAAAAGTTGGCTATACTAATGTATACTTGTTCCTAGGGCAGCAATCCAAAAAACTAAAGTATAATTCTTCAATCAAGATACTGTTGTGTTAATTTGGGAAGTGATATTCTAAGTTTTGAAGTAGAATTATAATTAAAAAAAACAATTTAAGATCAATATTTTCCATGTACACAAAATACTAGTGGTAAAAACTGAAGAAATGGGGTCCCTCCTTGACTGGAATCCTGCTTCTTAGACCTAAGTACTGGGTTTGCTTCTCTCCAAAGTTAAAATTTATTGGAACCCACAGTGTGAAAATTTTACTAGGCAAAAATACCTAATTGTGTATTCTATTCAGTGAAATAAACCTTTGTCAAAAGCACATTCACGGCACTGCCCTGGCTTGCTGTACTTAAGGCACTACCTGCACCTAACCCTGAAGGCTGCTTAAAGAGGAAGCTCATACCCAGTCCAAGTCTCTCAACTAGCAAAGGAATCTTGGTTTTTCTTTGCTACAACTCAACATAATGCTCATCCAACCAGAGAGCTGCAATATGTATTTGGCTTTTTATACAGAGGCTGTTCAATAACAGTTTGAGTATGGGGCACAACAATGTGGCAGGGGGGTCCCTAGGCTATGAAGTCACCTATTTCATCTACTTCTTGAGTTCCTAAAAGTATGAGTGCTTAGAGACTCAGGGAATTCCCGACCTTCTAGGGTCTTCTGGCTGTCATAACTTTACCTCTTGCGTCCTTTTCCTAGGCTGGTTCCTCTTCACAGTTATTTTCTCATTGCTCCTTTGTTCTCTGGGTCTATCTCATCTTTTCATAGTTATTTTCTCGTTGTTCCTTTGCTCTCTCTGGGTCTATCTTGTCTCTTCTTTCCCACACCACTCCTGGCACCTAGTTTGTCTTTTCTTTTTCATGTGAAATTCCTCGTAGGATCTAGTTCCCTTCCAGGGCTTTAGTGTATCTTTATCCTGCTATAAAAGCCTAGAAATGCTCACAGCAGACCCAGCTCTCCCTTTTTTCCACATCATTTCTCTCAGTGCATCCCCATCAGCTGCCCTGACACCAGCACACAGATGAGCTTAGCAGAAGGCCCCTCATCTTCTCATACTTGTTGCCATTTAGCTACATGTCTGCTCTAGTCCTTTACTAAGGAATAATTTTCTCATTTAAGCTTGCTCTTACTCAGTTTGGTCTACCATCCCACCTTTACAAAGTTACTAGTACTTTAGTAACCTGATCTAGTTGCAGACACATGGTATTGGGCTTTATTTGAGTCAACAATATTGAATTGTACCCAGGGATGTTTCTATCTGTGGGGCTCAGAGGCTGGTTCATGTTAAGATCATGTGGGGCTCTTAACCACACAACTCTCTGCAGCCTACAGTGCCAATCCAAAGCCCACCCTGCAGCCTATGAAGGCAAAGTGACAGTAACAAGTCCGGAAGTGTATCTTGTCCCTCCATCCTGTGAACCATGAGATGTTGAACATATTTCCTGGTAGGCTTCTGTCTTGAAAGCTGTTCCACCTGCACCTTTTATGCTTCTTGTGTCTTCTCCATCAATAATAGGTCTGTCAGTTGCTTGTCTGACACACTGAGCTGCTGGCAGTTTCTCATAACCTGACTAAGATAAATTGCCAGGAGATGCTTACACTGGAATACAAAACACAAACCTGTTAGGAACAAGAAAGATCATGTTTGGCCAGTCTAATCAAGACCCCTCACTATCACATGCAAGGAGGAGATCGAAACTTTGCCCTGCTTTCAGTTGGTTCTATCCTCGCCTTCAGAGTGTGGTTACAGCAATGGTTGACAGTCCTTGAGGCACTATACTGCTCTGTGTTCCTCACAAATGAGCTCATGCAAATCTAATAGCTATCCAGCAGGTTCAAACTTCATTATAATGAGCATGCAGAGCCTCTACTCCACTTTAACCATTGCTATCTTCTGGGGTGGGAAAAGAGCATCGGGAAAATTCTCACATATACACAAATGTGGGGAGATGACTCTGTTAGACCAATGTCACAGAACACAACATTGAATCCTGAGAGGACCATGGTTCAATCCTGTCACTTTTATAAGTGAAATATACCACACTAATGGCTAGTAGGGTGTGTATATGAATTAACAGAGATACTCAATTTGGCACCAAACTCTGAAGATGTTTAAACTGCTAATAGTATACAAAAAGGGGGAGAGGAGCTTGAGAGATGGCTCAGTGGTTAAAAGTACTGACTGCTCTTCCAGAGGACCCGGGTTCAATTCGGAACACCCACATAACAGCTCACAACTGTCCAAGATCTGACACAGACATACATGCAGGCAAAACACCAATGCAAACAAAATTAAAATAATCATTATAAAATATCTTTAAAAAATAAAGGAAAGGAATGAGGTGGACTTTATTCTTCTCTGACAAGACTAAGAACTAATCACCTTCTCTGAGGAGAGGAGGGTAGACGTTTCTTTCCCTTTGGAGCAAGCAGTGTGCAGACATGTGCTGTCCTTACTCTGATAGGCTCACAAAGACTTAGAGGTATAGATGGAGGTGTTCCTGGTCCATATGAGGGTGAATGTGAGGTCAAGCCACAAGCAGTGGGATGATGAGTGAGCATCTTTTATGTAGTTCTCTCTTTACTGGGCCATCTACTTCCCCAGTACACATTTCCAAGATTACATTACTGTCCCCACAACCTCCTCTACAACCTTTTAAATAAAACAGAACAAAACCCCCCAAAAAACCAGGAAACTGGTGAAGTACCAAAAATGACATTGCATTTTTGGAGATTAAATCCCAAGAGGTGACTAAGACAAGGACAGTGAACCACAATGTCTTCAACATTCAGGGAAATAACAATTCTATGTAAACCCTCCCCCACCCCAAAAATGTATGTGGCACTTAAAGTCTGATATGAGTCTAGCTCTTTCCCAACTTGTGTGCAGTGGCAAGAGCCCATTCTTACCAGCAGACTGTCACTCTTCCGTAACACTGAGAAGGCAAATGCTGGGCATGAGCAGTAATGACAGGAAGTCATACATGTGTATGTTTTGCCAGAACTCCCAAGCACCTGGGAGAAGGATGGACATTGTTAGAAACTCAGAAGGTTTGCTCAACACATAAGAGTTGCTGATGGACAGACATCATTGTGAAGAACTGCAGTGGAGTTGATACAAAAGAGGAAACGCAAGTTTTCTTCCTTCAGTGTACAAACTTTATCTCTGCAGCTTTCTAGGACTTTCAACAGTGGAAGAGTTTTAATCTAACCCAGCCTTCCACACAGCCTCTTGTTCCCATGTGATACACAGGTCTTAGCCTGTAGGGGGTAACAAGAAGTGAAGAGAAAAACTTGTGTGCATTTTACTGTGGGGCCCTTCATCTGTGGTATTAGCATTTGAAGACATTTCTAAAGCTACTGTTACATTCCCACAGAGTGAAAATGGGTAAAGAGTGCATGGGGAGGCAGGAACAGGCAGCTCTCGGATGAAGAGAGCAGAAAGGGGTGAAAGAAGCATTTGGGTGGGGAGAATAAATAAAGTGGAGTCTTGTGAAAGGGATGACTCAGCTGCTCAGGATGGAGGTCCCAGGAAAGGAGGCAAGTTCAGATCTGCCTACTCATCCAGCAGGATGGAAGAAGGACACAGACATGTGGGTGTTGGTGAAAGGCCTAGTACAACAAACACTCTTGGTGACAGTCAAAACGAACACAAAGGAAACGTAAAAGGAAAATAAGATTTGTCTGTGGTGTGATTGGGCCAGTTTGTTGGAGAAAGCGCTCCACCTCGAAGTAGCCAAATGTTTCCTGTTGGCAGCTTGCTATAGTTTGGATTCTGAATGTCCCCCAAGGGCACAGGTGTTAAAAGCTTGGTTGCTATCTCCTGGTGCATATGGGAAATGGTAGAGCCTTTAGGAGGCAGGATATAGTTAGAAGGAGTTAGGTTGCTGTGGGCATGCCGTTGCAGGAGATTCTAACTTTCCTGTCTTTGCTTTCTGACGGTGGGTAAAGAGGCCTTTTCAGCATGCTGTTCCTGCTATCATATACTGTAAGATATTGTGCTGCCATAGGCTAGTACAACAGGGCCCAGTGACTGTGATTAGAAACCTCTGAAACTGCTAGCCAATAGAAATCTATTCTCCTTTACAGTGACTTATGCTAGATCTCATAGTGATGAACACTAGCTAACTTGAGCTGCATCTGAAAGTTGACTTCCAAGTGAGGTAGACTATTATCATCAAAGGAAAGTACAAATATTTCAATTACTTTACAATGGCCAGAAGGCTTTCAAATTAAATGTAGGCTTTAAGATGACAATCTAAATAAAAAAGTCAGGATTTGTTAAAATTATAAATGTCAGCATTCCCAGGATCCTCTGCCCCAACCTGAGAATAGATATCAGGTAAGGCCTTAACAAGAAGAAATAATAGGTTCAAGTGTTGTGCTTCTGACTGTCTGTTCAGTGATTAATATGATATAGCTTTTCTGGTAATTTGGTGACTAAGTCAGCAGAATTCCATGGGGATTTGAGAAGACTAGGTATGCCCTTCTACCATACCCATTAAAGACTAGACCTAGTTTAAATCAGGTAGTAAAAACTAGACTTAAACATTTCCTATCCCAAGGTCTGCTGTGTTATGAACATGACACCCAAAGCACTGAAAGCCATAAGACTGAGTGGACATTAAAGCTGACTGCTTCCCACTTAATCCTAAAGAAAACTTACTGGCATTCAACAGTGACATGGATAATCATTGGCTCTGCAGACTACCAAAGAATATACCTTTAATGTTCTTTCTTGGCTCCCTGTCTTTTCTCTCTAGATTTAGACTTAAACAGACAAAGCCTCCAGTACTCTGCAGGTCCTGGATCTATCAAAATGCTTCCTGGATTATGTTGAATCAAAGCCTTGTGATTTAGGGACAGGGATAAATTCTACAGAGGTCCCCTTGCCTTATCCTTTCAAAGGCTGTCTGAGATTCAAAGTAAACTGGTCAAGTCCCTGGGGCAGTAGATACTCTAAAGACAATAAGTGCTTTAATTTGCTTCTTCCTTATCTAGCAGTTGGCAACTAATGAACCCAATAATCAGGCAAAAATCTGAGTTAGAAATGTTTACAACTGGAAATTGGCCTTAGGGGTAATTTAATTCAGTGTCTTCACTCTTCAGTGGAAGAAAGACCCTCTCTTACAGGAACTGCTCCAAGTTCTTCCACTCATAGCATAGGCTGGAATGTGCCCCCACTCACCCCCCCAACTGAGGTTTTAAAAAAGAATTAAACAGGAAAGAACGCACTCAAGACCAGGACTGGACTCTCAGACATCTGACTGGCAGGAAGTCTGTAGTGACTGGGTAGCTTGTAAGGAGAATGACCCCATCACCATCCATTCACAGGTATAGCCTTATAACCATCTCAGACCCCTTAGGCTGCTGCATGTAGGGAAGCTGCATTTATTGTTTCCTGTGTTTATTGCCTCTTTCTGGAAAAAGGGTTTACCATTCCTGCCCTGATCGGACTTCCTGTGTGAGCTGTGTTAGCTCATTGAATAGTTGCTTCAACTTCTATCATCTTATACAGCCCAGGAATTGAGCCAGAGTCTTAGTGTATGACTGAACAACACACTATAAGATTGCTGTGAGGATGTCTGAGAGTTCTAGTCTTACTCAAGTCAAAGTTGAAGCTGACAGCTATATATCTAGGGAGTCTATTTTTATGACAAAGCAACATAATATAATAAAGGATATGATGGACAACCATTAGGAAAGTCATATTGACAAAAATAATTTAAATTGTTTTAAACAAAATCTTTAAAATTTTAGCTAGTAGCCGATCACATAATTAAGGGACAGCTAGAAGCCTGCCTGTTCTGGTCAAGTGTTATGCTGATAATGGAGCAGAGACTGAAAACGTTTTTTAACTTAACTTGACATTTTAAAAAGATTTATAAGGCCAGGTGGTGGTGGTGCATGCCTTTAATACTAGTACTAGATAGAGGAAGGTTTATGGCCAGCCTGGTTTATAGAGTGAGTTCCAAGACAACCAGGGCTACACAGAAAAAGCCTGTCTCAAAAAAACAAATAAAAAAAAAGATTTATATTATTTTTCTTTTATATGTGTTTTACTTGCCTATATGTTTATAGACTTTAGAAAGAGCCTGTCCATACCATGGTTAGTTCTATACAGTGCTACTGAGTAGAATCAAGTCATATTTATCTTTAATTTCTAAAATGCCTCGAGATCCTATGTTAAGTGCAACAAGCCTGGTATAGGAAGATCCAATACTACATGATCTTGTATGTGGAATCTAAACTAGTCCATCTTATAGAAGCCAAAGCGGAATGATGGTCACCTAGCATTTTAGGGGTTAAGGAAATAAAGAAGGAGACAAAGCTTAGGAAATTTACTGACTACATTAACAATGTATTGCAGACTAGAAAATTTCTAAGAGAATGGACTTTTAAGTGTTCTCATTACAAAAAAAGGAAGCATGTAAGATAGTTTGAGATAGTTGGATCCATCAATAGCAGGCAGTTATCTCATAGGGTATCATATATCAAGACATCATTTTGTATGTCATAAATATATAGTTTTGTCAATTTAAAATAAACACAAATCTTAAATTATGATTGTGTTAACTTCACTAAGTTGGGTCAAAGCCTCCTCATGGTCCAGGATGTTTATACTTCAGAGATTGTGAATAGATTTATGTCCTAAGGGTTTCTGTTTTGATTATCCCTGCCTCTAGACTTCTACCTGGTAAACACGCCTTCCACTGGGTGATGAGATTAAAGTGACGGACTCTCGGTCAACTAAGTCCAAGGCTTGGATGGCTGACGACCCAAACACAAACTTCAGCCTAGGGAATACAAAGACTGGATTAGAAGGCCTGATTCTGAGTCACCTCAGAAACTTGACACAAAGGATCACTTTTTGTTTTGGTGGTGGTAGTGGTGGTGCTGAAAATTGTACCCAAGGCCTCATACACAGTTGGCAAGCACTGTACCACTGCGTATACTGCCTCAGTCTCGGCACCCTCATTGTGTGTGCTGTTTCTTTAGCCCCATCCATTTCTTTTAGGGATGGTTGCTAACCAGCCTGCAACTTGCCAGAATGCTAGCACTGTGATTACAAGTACACGAGTCACACCTTTTAAGTGGTGCTGGGATTGAATATAGGTATCTATGTTTGCAAGACAGTTTACCAACTGAGCTGCCTCCCCGCCCAATCCAGAGACTTAAAATAAAAAAAAAAAACTAACTTTAATTTGAAAAAATATTAACAAAACCATGGACTTGGGTTGGAGAGATGGCTCAGCAGTTACAGATTTGGTTGCTCTTCCAGAGGACCTGGGTGTGTTTCTCAGGACCTACATGGCAGCTCACATCCATCTGTAACTCCAGTTCTAAGAGTTCTAAGACAATGCCTGTCTCTAGCCTCCATGAGCAGTGCATGCATGTGATGCACAGATAAATATGTAAACAAAACACCCATATACACAAAATTAAAAATTCAAACCAAAATAACCAATGAAACCAAATCCATCTCTTCATTTGTTCCCTAGAATAATTGTTAACACCTTGTTCATTTATTTCAGTTTTTTTGTTTGTGTGTTTTAAAGTAAAAGACTATACTATTATAGATTTTAAAAGGTCTGTGCTTCTTTATAGTGCTGCTACACATTTCTTCCTTCTCACCCCTTTGGCAAGCACTTACTTTACTCTCTTCCTTCCCTCTCTCTGAGCCTCCCTCCTTTCTGTCTGCCCTGGCACTGGAGACTGGCCTCATACATGCTCAGAACATACTCTACCTCTGGACTGTATGTGCAGAAGATCTCATGCTAATTACTGGTTTCTGTCCTGATAATGTTTTTGTATGTTATTACTCACAGAATGACGGTGTTTACATACATGTGTATATGTACCTATGCACATACAGCACTGCTTACCAAGTTTAAAATACAACAGGAGTGTTGCTTCACTTCCCCATAAACTAGTCTTACACACAACATCACTAGGAAGAATTGAGAAGGAGACTGTAGGGAGACACCCTAGCCCCGCCCAATAGTCATGGGACAGGTGCCAGGTGGACCCGGGACTCGCCCATAAGGGCGTGGTGAAGGAGAGCCGGTGTGACGTAAGGGAGCTTTTTAAGGGCTGCACAGGAAGACCCTAGCCCTTTTCTGGCCGCGCTTGCTGGGTTCCTGTAACCTCGCTCTGGCCTGCGTTTTGCCCTGGTATTTTCTTGAATAAAGAGACTTTACCATCCCGGAACACAGTTCATCTTTGAGCACACGCTGCAACCTTTAATCTTCAGGACACTTTGGAATTTCTTATACCAAATACACAAAGATTTAATTAGTCAACAAAAATAAGGAAATGGACTCACTAAAGAGCCTCTTACTCAGAGATATCCATAGTTAACTTCAGTTACTTTAAAATGGCTTTGTCTGCTCTATGACTTCTGTAAACACCTCTCAAACACCATAAACATTTCTTTTTATTACTTTTGGTGGCTGTAAAAAACTCTACTGTAAAAGTGGATCATGTTTATTCTCTCTAAACAGTTTCTGAGTAGATGATTCCCAGGTTGTTCTGTAGTCCTATTCAGCACTGGGTGAATCTGCTCATTGTAAAGTCTTCATGAACAACACAGTCACTTTCTTGGGAGACATTCTTGTAAGTGGAATATCCAGGCCAAAGAATATATATGTTTTAAAGCTGTATTGCCAGTTTGCCAGGTGTGGTTGTCTGAATTGAGAATGACCCCTATAGGCTCATATATTTGAATGGCTTGATCCACAGCTGCTGGGGAAGGCGGGAGAGAGGGGTTCAGGAGGATTAGGAAGTGTGGCCTTGTTGGAGGAGGTGTGTCACTGGGGGCAGACTCTGAGACTTCCCAGTGCCATTCCCAATTAGCTCTTTCTCTCTCCCTGCCTTGTGCTTGCGGATCAGATGTGAGCTCTCAGCTCCTTCTCTAGCATCATGAATGCTCCCTACCCTGATGGTCATGGACTAACTCTCTGAAACTATAAGCGAGCCTCAATTAAATGCTTTCTCTTGTAAGTTACCTTGGTCATGATGGTTTGCCACAACAGTAGAAAAGCAACTAAGACACCAGGCTACCTTCTACCATCTTTACCAGCAAGGTATTGCTTATCTTTTTCTCCATATTTCATCAATGTTCTTCCTGTGGTTGCTAGTTTTATAGAAAAATTATCTTTGTTTTGCATTTTATGATTACATTGGCCATTTGCATTCTTTTATTATTTGCCTATTTCCTACTTATTTGTTTACTTTTAAAAGATTTATTTGCTTTATTTTATGCATAAGTGCATGTGTCTGAGCATGTGTGTGTGTGTTCGTGTACTGTATCTACAGGTTCCCATGGAGGTGAGCAGAGGATATAAGGCTTTTGTGAACATGTGTGCTGGGAACCGAACAAATGCTCTTAACCACTCAGTCAGCTCTCCAGATCCTTAGTTTAGTTTTGTTCGTTTTGTTTCTGTTTTGAGACAAGGTCTTGCATAGGTCAGGCTGACTTCAAACTTCCATTATAGCTGAAGAGGATCTTGAACTTCTGGTCCTCATGTATTCTATCTTCCAAGTGCTGGGATTACGAGTGTGCCACCATGTCTATTTTGTTTTATTTTAATGTTAAAATGTGTGTGGGGGCTGGAGAGATGGCTCAGAGGTTAAGAGAACTGACTGCTCTTCCAGAGGTTCTGAGTTCAATTCCCAGAAACCACATGGTGGCTCACAACCATCTGTTATGAAATCTGGTGCCCTCTTCTGGTGTGCAGATATACATGGAAGCAGAATGTTGTATATATAATAAACAAACAAACAAACAAACAAGTAAATAAAATCTTTTTAAAAAATGTGTGTGTATGGAAGTTTTGTCTACATGCAAGTCTGTGCACCATGTGCTTGCAGTGCCCACAGAGGCCAGAAGAGGATACTCAGTCTCCCAGAGCTGTGGTTATAGTGGTTGTGTACCTTCTGACTTGGGTCCTCCGATACAGCAGCAAGCCATGTCTCCTGCCCTCTTCTTATCTTTTAAAAACCAAGCAATGTACTGAACAGATTTGACTCCTAAAACAAGGTAACTCTTTAGAAAATCAAAAAGAGTATGTACTTACGATGAGAGATGTTCATCGGGAACTGTAAAAAGGTTAAGTTAATCATGTTAGATTAGTGGATACCAACATGGAGCTCTTAAAACGACTATAACCAAATCACCACATAAAATGTAAACAGAACCTTGTATCCAATTCTACTCCTTTCCCAAACCCCACTGGAACAATAATAAAAGGATTTATTATTTTAAAAAATCATTAGTTCCCAAGGATGAGGAAGGCAGGGTTTGGAAAAGAACAACTAAAATATATTGAAAACTGATACCAATGTGAAATATAACTTTCTAGGCCCTAGCAATCTGAATCTGAAGCTAACGGTAGGAAGAACCAAGCACAAGTCTGACACATATTTCAGAACCTACTACCCTCCTCAAAAGAAACCTCAGAACTCATGACACTAGATATCTCTGGAGATGGGATCAGGCAGGAACTCTAAAATAAGATTCTCTGAGAGTGGTCTAAAAAGGATCAGTCCCTCTGGGCACAGTGGTGCACACCTTTAATCTCAGCACAGAGGCAAGCATATCTCTGTGAGTTCAAGGCCAGCCTGGTCTACATATTGAGTTCCATGACAGCTAGGACTAGATAGACCGTGTCTCAAAATAATAATTCATCATCATCATCATCATCATCATCATCATCATCATAAAAAGAATGATCAGTCCCAGTTCCTTTTTTTAGCTGTGGGTGGCTGTTGTTCCCTCACTCTGGCAGACGACCATTGATTTTTCAAGAAAGGCTCTACCAGAGGATTTTTGGACTAGGAGAAAACACCAAAAAAAAAAAAAAAAAAAAAAAAAAAAAAAAAAAAGGTGGCCTTGCTGCTCTCTTCCCAATATGGCTCTTGTAAGATAAGCAATCAACCCTCCTCTTCTTCCCTCTCCTACTGAGCTATTCTTCTAGGTATAACCTTCTTGGCAGGAGACTCACTGGGGAATCTGATCAAGCCAACAGGAAATCGATATTCATCACCTGTAAGGCCTTGCTTGTGTCTTCTCCTCTTAAACATGATAAGTAAGAATTACCACAACAAAGTAAAAAGGAAACAATAACAATGAAAGAAACCTAAGGAAAGGGAACACTGGTCAGAGGGAAAGTTCCAACACCTATTACTAAGGAAAGAACAAACAAGTTAGTGCAGTCATAACATAGGCATGAGGGACACCATTATTTTCAGTGAAAAAGTGTAAATTAAATATAACATCAGAAATAAAAATTTCATAGAAAACCTGGAAGATGCAGTTGAAGGAAGTTCCCAAGAAGCAGCGGGACAATAAAGGACATTCCATAACTAAGTGATATGAATACTAGAAAGAAAAAGACAAACCTCTATCAAGTGCATTAAGAGAGCCAGATGGTGGGAGTAGAAAACAAAACCAGGAGCTGGAGAGGTGGTTCATCCGTTATGTGTGAAGAGAGCTTGCTGCTCTGAAGATGGCTGGAGTCGTTTCCAGCACCAGTACTGACTGGCTCTTACCTGCCTGTACTGCCAGCTCTAAAGATCCAACACCCACTTCCGGCCTCTGGGGCTCCCTCACATGTGTACATGGACGCACGTAGACACCCATGCACACATAACTAAAAATGAAACTCGAACAAAATCTTATCAGAAGATTGAGAATCAGAGTCCTAAGATATTACTGGCTTTCCACACACGTGGGAACATTTGCTGAGTAACCTGAGGTAAGCATTGAGGGTTTGCCTCCCAGCGCCCTCAGAGCCCAGTCCAAGGGGATCTGATGCCATCTTCTGGCCTCTGAGGGCACTGCATACACACGATACACAGATTCAAGCAAAACACCGAAAATTTCAAAAAAGAAACGGAAAAACTAGATATACACCTATAACTGAAACTCAGAAGGCTTAGGCATTAACACTGTGAGCTCGAGGCCAGCTGGGGCTACAAAGAGACCAAATAAAACCAAACAGAAACCAGCACTACCAACACTCCAAACCCCAACCTCTGAATCTACTAAAGATGTCATTCTTTAGTCATTCTCTCCTAAGGAACACAGGATGACATCTACCCACACAGCACTGCCACTGCCCAGGTGAGTAATCTAGAGTTGATTTAAAACATATTAAAGCACAGAGAAGGGTGAGTATGGGTTACATGTGATCTTACGGAAAGAACTTGTGCATCCATTGTGTCCTCCATGGATATCTAGGAACAACTGCAATTCAAATACCCAGAGAAAATAAAGGCCACAGACAAAATTCAGGACCAATGCTAGATGCAAAATGCTAGACGATTATGGAATAATGCTTTCAGATGTCTGAAGAAATGTTATTTCCAACATGTAATTTAATACCTTTCAATGAAGTGTGAGAGTAGAGAAACCTTTTTCAGACATTCAAAGCCTCAAAAATACAGTATGTACTTCATAAAATAATACAGGAAACAATATATAAGTGAATAAATAAGAGGAAGGAATCCAGGAAGCAAGTGTGCATATCAGACTGACACCTCCAGAACCTTTCTGGAGTCAAAAACGTGTTTGAATACCTGGCTGGCCGAATCTTTCACACATATGTAAAAGAGCGAAGTGAGAACATTGGCTTATTTTTCTCATCCCTTGAAAACAGTAATTCAAACCCTTTCACGAAGCACGATGAATGGGCATAGATAGCAGTTTTGAGCTCTAATCTGACTATTACTTAGAGGGCCGATTTCGGAAGAGTGCTTCTAATTCGTCTACATCCTAGGATTCCACCCTGCCCTCCCTCTCCCCCCATTTTGAGACAGTCTCCAGGATCCCATCTGACCTAGCACTATGTAGCTGAGGCTGACTTTGAACTTCTGATTCTCCTGCCTCCATTTCCCAAGTGCGGAGGTTACAGTCTTGTGCCTGGTCTTGGGGGCCGCAGCTCAGTGCAAACAGCCTCTAGCTGAGCTACAGAGTAGATTCTCCTACTCCGTCCGGGTATGCAAAAAAAAATTATCTTTGGTCATTTCGTTGAAGACAGGCATAGACCGCCCTCTGCTGGTCAGAGGTAAAAAGTATTTTTCAACGGCCAGATGTTTATGTTTTGTGACCCTAGAATCTTTATCTGCACAAAGTACACGAGAGTTATTATCTTTGGACTTTGCATCACCAATTGTGGAAAAAGATTTTGAGTAACTCAAAACTGTCTAAGCTTCTGCCATTCCGAACCCCTGGCCTTTGCCTACTCCTAGGGTG